GGTTACAAATCCATGCTTGACAAATGATTCCACTACGTAACACAAATCACCATCACTTTACTGATTTTATCTTTGAGAACCTAAATGGCTGCTCGATTAGGAGGATGTGATCAAATAACCAGAGGAAAAACATTTTGCACGGCTATTACAGAGGTAATCCTGAATACTTGGAAGAGTGAATTAAGATCTTCTTTTCAAGGGTTTCTGATTTGGGGTGAAAACTCTCCTGAGTATTTCTAACCTCTTGGCTCCTGCCTTTGAAGGCTTTAATTGATAATGTCAAAGAGAAGGGTTCGAGGTACAGGATTCCATATGCATGAGCTAAAACTATTCACTCAAATTGAAAGAAAATTTTGCACTCACTATTACACGGAAAAGTCAGAGATGATCACTGGACAGAAAGAAACCTCTTAGAATGAACATTTAGCATCTAACGAAGTGAAAGACATTTGTTTCTGGCACAAAGAAACCTCAGTTGGAAAACCATTGCTGGCAGCCCTGAATCAGTGCCAATTATTCATCTTTTAACCTGGACATTTGAAATAGGTGGAGACAAACATAGGGAAAGTCTTAAAAAGCAGCTGTTTATAGTTTACTGCCAAGACCCACGAACTTCAAATTTAAGACTATCACACCTCATCAACTGCAACAAAATTTGACCTTCAGGCTTGATTCTTGGCTGAATTTCCAGGAAATCTTAAATCATTAATCTTGTTTGGTAAGCAACTTTCTCAATTTCTCCAGCTAATGGGAAAAAACTCCCTAACATTTACTATAAGTCACAGAAGCTTTCACAGTGAAACATGGTGTAGCAACTCCTCCCATTAAGTTGAATTTCCTCCGCAGAAGTCTTCCCATTGAGACATAAATTTCATTTTAAGGCACTAATAATAAAGGGCAGGAAAACAGCTAGGAATGAGTCAGACCTTTCCAGAAAGAGAAGACATTTCAAAAGCACAAATCAGTCATCTATCTGACTAACTTCAACATCTAAAGAGGAGGGAGAGTAAAGGTTTTCATGGCTACCAGATGCAGCTCTTTTCCATTCTCCCATACAAACTTATTTACAGTCTCGGATTTATATTTCCTCAAGAGGCAGTAGAAAAAGATGGTATGGATTTGGAACAAACAAATAAGCTACTCTAGTTTGTAGCCTACTCTCATCATTAATTAATTCTATAATGACCACATGGAATGCTCACACCCAGATTTTTAAGTACTTTTAAAAATTACTAAGACCATACACCGAGTGGTTGAAACTGCAATAAGGTACTCTTTTATATTGTTCTGAGGGGGAAATGTAGATAATTAATAAATTTTTCATGATCAGGTAAATGGAATTTGTTAATCACAAAGAGCGAATTGAGGAGAAAAAGAACTCTACTCAGAAGTCTACCTCAGCACGATTTCCTACACCTGCCACTGAAATTAATTTTGCGTACTGAAATTAATTTTGCATGAGAAAAGAACTAAGTAACAAAAGGGTTCAAGTAAGTTAGTGCAGGAGGCAAATGCCAGCAAATGAGTGATTGTGGAGGTAGGCCTGGTGGGACAGGATTATCCTAAAGAAAAAAATGCTTCCTGTGAGTGCATGCTCACATGCGTGCACACACCCAACCTGTGCACTAATTTACACAGTGGCATGGATGTGGGGAAGGCTCAACACTATGAGACACGAGCACATATATCTCATCTGTTTGCACTTCTAGACAGGAAAAGATCTGACACACATTGAACACCCACAGGTACACATGCACAAGGGCTGGCCTGGCTGGCTCAGACCCGGAGACAGATGCAGAGAATCCTAGAGCTGCTGGTTTTACAGGAATGACTATATCTGTAGGATTACACTTCCTCTTGAAATGCAGGATTTTCATCTTGCATCTCTTTCCAGAAATATCCCCTTTTCAAGAGTATTAAGTCCCGGCGGGACTGATCTTGATTTCTCAATGGACACGACTCACAACAGGACTGCAGGAATTAAAACTAGCGGTAACATGGCCCCTTTGAGGTTGGGTTCGTGAAGTGTTTCTGGATTTAAATAGTTTCTGGGGGAGGTGTGGGTAGCCATGTTCTGGGTAGAGGTGAAGATAGAAATGCCTGAAAGTCCAGAAATCAATATAAACAAAAGAAATGAGCATACTCAAAGGCGTTTTGCACCTGAGTCTGTTGACTGACATTCTGCTCTGACCCAGGGAACTGAAAGATGACAACTGATATACTTCTTGTCAGGAAGGCTCAGCAGGGGGAGCTGATGTGATAGGTTATTCAGGGTCGGGAAGAGAGAGAGGCCTAAGGCTCAGGTATTGCTCTTAAGGTTTCTGCTTGCCTGATTTTGAAGGAAATGGTGCTAAAGCAAAAGGATCAGCAGCTGGCAGCTCCGTAGTCCTGGAGGAAAGGGATGTGATGGAAACAGAGCCAGCTATGGACTGCTTGTTGGTTTGCGAAACAATTTTGTAGGCAGCAATGGGCTGGGCTTCGGGACTTGGCTCATCTTCTGGGCTATAGTGACGGGAGTATTTGGATAAAGACTGGGGAAGGAATGGTTTCCCAGCCATGGGGCCCGAGATAGCTTCTTGCTGGGGCTGAAGTCCTTTGTTTCTGTCATTAGGATGGCCCCCACATTCCAGGGAGGATCCCCTGGGTGAGATGCTATCAAGATGGTCTGCTGCTTGTACAGAATGGGAGGGGAGACTGGACTGTGGGACAAAACCAGGCATGGAATACTGAGATCGGACAGAGGCATACACTGCTCTGTCGAGGCCCGAGAGCAGAGCGACATCATCTGTCTGACTGAGAAGACTGGCCTGCACAGGCATCTCCTGGGAGGTGCTCTGGGCAACTGTTAACTCCTCCACACTTTTCTTTTTGGTAAAAGGAGCTCTCAAGAACACATCCGCCTCCTCTGGCTGGGAAGGAGCCACACTGCCCCTGGAGATAAATGGGGCTTTGGAGAAAATGTCCATTTCATCAGCTGAAACCCTTGAGCTTCTGAAGGGGGCCGTGGCAAAAACATCTGGCTCACCGACGCCATCAGTGACTGGTTGCATGAGGGCTTGAAATTGGTTCTTTCTTCCACCTTGCACTGCCTTTGCTTCCTCAGTGGAGACTTCTGGCTGAGTGAATGGGACAGCCGCTCCCAGCTTCCCCTGCGGAGGCTTGCAGCTCTCATCCTCGTCTTCGGACTCCATAAGGAGAGGTCGAGACCCACTGCAGTCTAGCATGTCCCCCTCGAGGTCAGTCCCTTCTTCTTCACTGCTGTGGAATGAGCTGTTGCTTGAAGGGCCATCTCTGGCCAAGTAGTCAGACTCTAAATTGTTCTGAGTTTTCACGTCAGGTACTCTGGAGGGGTCTGGATACAGGGGAAGGCCTTTAACACCAGCTGATTCTTTAAAGTGCTCTACAGTTATTACAGGACAGGGATTGGGCTCTCTCTGGAGACCTAGAAAAGCACAAAATGCAGAATTAATGCATAGGTCAGCTCAATGCTCCTTGGAACATTTAATGGCCAACCCACAGCGGTAACATCGTGGGACCAAATAATAGATGTTGAAAATGAAAAAGGAAAAACAGAAAAATAAAATTCAGGCAAGGAAACTGCACACAGACTGGAACACAACCAATCACTGTCTCACATTTTGGAACATGATAAGCACAATGTGCAGGAAAGGAAATGAAGATGTTAGGCACACAGACATTCAGCATAACTACCAATGCTCCTACTCGCGGGGTTAGGCACTGGCACCTGCTCTACCTGGCACTGGCTCATGATGGAATGAAAACAAACCCAGTCACTCGTCTCCACATGTACTGTGATGGTTCCAGAGTATGCAGAAATACTGTCTGGGACAAATTCAATTCAGTATCTGACATGTGGCCAGACTCTGAGGACATACCCTTCTTTTGTCCCCGAAAAGCAGCAAAACATGGCTGCTTGATAAATGCAAGTTTCCTTGATGATTGATCATAAGCACTACTCAAAGAGCACAAAAGTGCCTCAAATAGGAGTACTGAAGGCACTTGATCAGGGGAGGAAACATAAGCAAAGTCATATTAAATTCCAACTTCAGCTGGAGTTGCTCTGGAACTTTGTTTTCAGTCTTCTAAGTTAACAAAGGTTTCCTCTGCTTAAATGACTCCATCATAAAGTTCTTTAAGCAGGAGTGAAATGCATTGGAAATTACAGAAGTATTTGCAAACTCTAAAATACTAGTCTATTTCTATCTAGATAGAAGTGCCTCAGGGTGCTCTGGCTCTTAAAATCAAATAGACAATTATCAGAATGCAAGAGAGCTTACCTTCCAAGAAATATTAGCAGGTTAGAAGTATGTCATTGGGCACATGTTAGCAAAAGGGCAGGAAAAAGGCATATGTAACTAAGCAAGAAGAATCCAGAGAAAGGGTGGTTGGGGGTAAAGGTATCATCTCATGGGTCTCCCAACCCACCAGGATAAGAACATTTAGTACAATGATTTGGGTTCTTTAGGTGACTCGGAACCTCTGTAAAGAGGTGATTCAATCAGCCCCTCCCCTCATAACCCTCTTCTCTTCTATGCAAAGCATTAACTCATAGAAACTCTCGTTAAAGTTTCTGCTTAAATTAAGCACACAGAACACAGCAGAAGCAGCATCAAAATCAGTTTATTGGGAAACCAGTTGCTTAGAGACATTACACTGTAAAGAGAGGTATAGAGAGAGTCCTGAACACTTTAGATGCCATACCAAAATACTGTGCTTTTCTGAATCCTATAACTTTTTTGCTGTACTCCTTTTTAAATAGCTCTGACCTTAAACATTGTTTCCAGAAACAAAAAGGTGGTTTTCCCCCATTTTCATTTCCCTAACAGTTTAAATGCCTTTGATGAATTCCAAATTAAAGTCTTTGGGTGAAATACTGTACTGATGCCAAATGGCTTTCCGAATAGTATTTGAAGAGTATGTTGATCTTGAAGAGGATAAACTTCTCCTTGCATTATAGCTTTAATATGTGCGCTTGCGTGAGTGATACAATAGCATTAGTCAGAGAACAGGAAATAAATGAAACACCTTCTCACCTTCTCCCTTGCAACGTATGTAAAAAGCCATAATCCCAACCTCTCAGGAAATTATTCTGATATTAGATCTGTCACAGTGATTCCCAGAGGATGATTTCTGGGAGCAAATTCAAATGACAGGGGGAAAAATCTTATTTTTTTTCCAAAATAAGATTTGCCAAGCACAGTGGAATGAGAGGACCCCAAAATTCCTTGAACCATTTTCTAACATGGCATCACATGGACAGAGTTTTCAGTTGCCAAAACTAAGGCACAATTTCTTAACTTCTAAAACTACCCTGAAAGTTGAGGCTATTAAGCTGTTTCCGTGGGATAACAAAATATCTCTTAGGGAAAAAAATGGAGAATTTAGCCAAGTCAATGACCGTCTCTGGCATCGTACAGATCGCTAATGAAAATGAACACTAGTTTGATTGGACTTAGTGACTTCGAAAAATTTAAACTGAATTTGGTGAAATTAATTTGTGTGCAGAGATTACCCAAGAGCAGCTACCTATAGAACCTGGGCACTCTGGATGCCTGCAGTGCTAGACTGTTTCCAGAACTCTGAGCACAGGGCAAGGCTGCCCATACCCAGAGTTGGACAGGATGGAAGAACATGCCCACCTCATCAGAATACTTTCGTAAAAAAGTGGGCTCTTCGTCAGGTCAACTGGAAGCCTGCGAACTCGGACCCTATTCTATGACCTTCATGGTGAGTAATGGGAAAGTCATACTTAAAGTTCCAGCAACTTTTAAAATTCATGCACATACAAAAATACAGGTAAGATTGGGTTTGAAGGGAACACCTAACCTTCAAAACAAGGCCAGACCTGTTTCCTGTCTTTTTTAGCATGAATCTGCTTCTAGGATCAGAAAAATACATATAAAGGTTTCTCCTGAGAAGGCCAAGCCTCTCTACCTGGTCATTCTTGTTAGAAGAGGCGCAGTGTGACCAGGGCAGAGAGCAACCACCCACTGTGAGGCTCAGCGCCTGGCACTCTGGGGACCCAAACATTGCTGGGGGACTTGGAAAAGCACAGACAACCACACTCCCTCAAGGAATTCTGGTGGTGGCAGCACAAGAAACAAGGTAGTCAAGAGAAGGAGAGATTCTAAATAACTGTAACCAGAGGATAGACATTAAGTCTGGCTGGGAGTTAGAGGTCTTTTTTGGTATATGAGTGTGTTCTTGTAGGGAAAGCACAGGGTCTCACGGTGAACAGTCCTTGTACATGAAGACAGCCTTGTACCGTCAGGAAGTATGTTTGAAGTAGTCTGCCTACTAGCAATGAAGGGTTTATATTAATTTGACCTCACACCTTGGTCTAGGTCCTTTGGCAACCAATGGCATGCGTGGCAGATGCCCTATGACCACAAAGCTCAATAGAGATTGACAGTTGTTCCCAGGAGGAGGGGCTTAAGCCCAGGACCTGGCCTCACAGTCTGCACAAGGGTCTTCCACGCCATGAAGCTGAAGGCAGGGCATTTTGTTCTAATTTCCCCTAACTGGGTCATGTCTCTTTTTATTTTGGCTTATCACATCAAATTAAACAACAAGTCAAAACATTTCTTTTTCTTGCTTCCCTGTAGGGTCGTGTGCCAGGTTAAAGTTAAGCACACATTTCAAAACTCTGTTTTAGTCTATTTAGAGGCTGCAAGTTATATAGATTTAGTAAGCGCTCATATGCTTCAGAAAGTAGGGAAAAGATTTCTCGAAAGTATTTGATGACTTGGCAATTATCTTTACTAATTCCCTGTTAAGTTCCAAAGCAGTGACTGGTGTTGAATGATTTGGGAAAGGTTTACTCTGAAAATTTTATCAGACGGACATAGTGAGGGTCATCAACGTGCTTTCTAAAAAAATTAAAATCTAAATCTGAAGACTTAAGTTTCTAACTGGATGTTTGTTAGTATAATATATCATGCACAACCAGAATTTTATTTTTCCCCATACTATAAAACTAAATACAGGGAGTATCAAGGACACAATTCTTGCCATAAAACTGAAAACGAAGTATTGAAAAACCTACTCATATACATAATTAGCAAGTAGAAAGCAAATATCCCTGCACAAGAACTTCAGAAATGCAGCACCAGCTGCAATTCACACTCTGGAGCCAAATCGGGGAGTCAAGAGATGTACATCAAGCTAATACCTTCCATGACCTTTTTGGCTTAGATGATGAAATTAAGCATTTGGTCCTACCATATGCTGTGTAGTTGCATTAAAACCCATGACTGGGGGAATAAGGGATTTGATGGAAGCCAACACTGGCTTGTGATGCTGTGTATCTCAAGCCAAAGGAGCAATTAAATGAAAGAGATTTCTCCCTGGGCATAAAACTGCTGTTCCAACATAAAATGTTTTATTAAACTGGCCTGCGTATATTAAAGATTAAATTAGAGGAGAGCTGCAAATCTGCGCTCTATTTTACAGCCCCGTGTCTGGTGATGTCAACTGCAGGCGTGCAGGGGTTTCACTCTCCCTGACCACAAGAAGCGGCCAGGGCAGCCGGGACTCACTAAACTGTCCTCGGCATGTCTCTCACACGTGTCCACACTTCCCTCATGCACAGGTACTTACTGTCGCTCAACAATGTGTTTAAATCCTTTTTGCAAAAGTGGGTTTTCAGCTCAGGAAAACAACAGCTATTTTTAGTTATTTATATCTCTGCACATCAATGCTCCCGTTTGAACAGATAAAAGTCTTTATTCCCCTGTATGTTTACATAAGAAATTTGTTTACAGACTTGTTTTTTATACAATACTTGTATAGCAATGTTCCAATTTCACATTTTTACTGCATAAGATAGCATCATGTACCTCAGTTTGCTCTGTCTTCTTGGGAACAGCAGGATAAAGACCTGCGGTAAATACACATCCACGTGACCAGGGGGTGGTGCAATAGGGCAGAGTGGAATACTGGCAGGAAAAGAGTACATTCAGACACTGCATCAAAGTGGGAGCCAAGAAAGTGTCTTCCATTCTAGCAACTACCACCATTTGGTAACTCTGCATTACCCAAACACCTCCCTGACCCACCTCGGTTTAACGGTACCAAGGAGAAACAAAATAGTATCTCGCTACGGATTACTTAAAATGGAGGCCATTGGGATTCATTCTTACTCAAATAACCCAAGCACATCCAGGAACATCACTAGCCTGGACAAGAAAAAGGCTAACTCTGGGTTGGCAAATGTACAGTCTCTAAACAGGAATAAAAGATAGCTTTTATAATATCTGGAGTGCTTCTACAAAGATTCCATTTCAAATATCCATGTGATAGTGTTTCTCTGTTCTGCTTGGCAGCTTGTAATTTGCTAATTCAGTATTTTGGGCAATCCTGACTTTTTTTTTTTTAAAGGAGGCTATCCTGTCATTTTTATCCCCAAACTCCTAAGTTAGTGGCTACAGGATCTGGATAATCTGTACAAACTGAGAAAGTTAAAGACTCATGGAGCTCACAGGCAAACTTCATCACAGAAACTTTACTTTGGCCCAAGGCACCTACAGTGCGCATTTGTTCGGCTGGATCAGATCCCTCCAGACCACCGAGATGCTTCCCACAGCCCTGCTGAAGGCAAACCCATTTCTGACCTGGGGGAAGACTGGGTTGGTCTCAATCAAAATGGTCAATTCTCAGCCAGGAGAGTGGGAAAGAGAATTATAAACAAAATCGTTTCATCTTGAGAAAAATAGGTTCTTTTTTTGGTTTGTTCCCCTATAATTATTAGCAATCCAGGTTCTATAATTCTATTTTAGGAAGAGCCAAGTCCATTACCAAATGATCCTGAACAAGGTGACAACCTGTTTTGGAGCCATTTTAAAATATATATCTTTCAATTCTCTAAGCCATACTAAAGAGGCAAAACCACAGATATTCCCTTGTTCAGAATATCAAGGAAATTAAGAATGACCACTGTCACTTTCCATTAAGGTTCCATTAAGAGAACTATATAAGGTTCTCTTCGGGAATTTTCTGTGGATTACTCTCTTTACTATCTTCAACAGTAACCACTCTTCATCTTAGGGTGGCGATTTTGCTTTTGGAAATAGTGGTAGAAGCAAGTAGATCTAGAAAGACAACATATTTTCACAGGCTGAAAATGACACCAATTTAGATAAGAATGCAGCTGATTTTCTTATACTTTATTACCTTCCTTGATGCCACTTCTAAGGAGAGGAGTTTCAAAAATATCTTAAATGATGGAAGCATCATTAGAATAAATATACCTTCCCAAGTTAAACCAGGGGACAATAATCAATTAAATGTCAGCATTCTGATATGTCTGCTAAAGTAATCATTAATTATAATCATATTTATAAGTGACCACTTAAACCTTATCTCCTGTGAGGCCTATGTTTTTAAAAATACTGGGACTTGAATTTGGCAATGTAGTAATTAGAATGCTCTAAAGGGGGAAAAAAACCTCATTGTGATGTTTTCTGGTTTAGTTACTATTTTTGCACAGTTAGAATAAAAGCAAATCAGAAACATATGCTTACATGATATGCATACACTTTGCTGTACATTGGAAACCAAAACAAAATAATATTGAATGCAAACTATGATTGAAAAATTAAAAAATAAATTAGAAAATATGATCTCCAATTGAAAAAAGAAAACATATGCTTACAGTATTTGTCCATTCTTATAAAGCATATCACTGATGACACATTTTTTAAAGTACTGAAATTTGGTACAGTTTTGTTGCACTCTGTGTGTGTAATGTTTAAAAGAGGAACACCTATGGTTTCTTTTTTGAAATAGAATTATAGAACTTGGATTGCTAATAATTATAGGGGAAAAACCAAAAACTTATTTTTCTCAAGATAAAATATTAATTTTGTTTATAATACTTTTTCCCACTCTTCTAGCCAATAGTTGGTCATTTTTATTGAAACCAACCGCAAAACTCTGCCCTATTTAGGCCTCTATTCAGATAACCACGAAAGAGCAATGCAGGTTAGTAAAAGCCCATTATAATTTTCTAAAATGTAAATGCTGCTACAGTAAGAACTACATTAGATAACTGGAGAACATCAGGATATATAAATCCTTCATAGTCCTTCCAGAGCATAATAACATATACTTAGAACCCTAGAATTCTATAATCTTAGAACCATCTAGTCCCAACCCATCACTGTGTAAATAAGAACAGTAGCTCTGAGGAGTGACATGCCTGCTTAAGGTGATTCAGACAGTGACCGGCAGAGGTCAAGGGAAGATCTCAGGTGGTCTGTCCTGCACAGGCCTCTTCTTCACTACCCTGCCCTAGGTCCTACACCTGTAAAATGAAATGGGTAGACGAGAGGATGATCTCTAAGGTCCCTTTTATAGCTCAGTCCATAGTTCCATAGGTCTATTAATTATCAGCACACTACATTCATCTCAAATAAATCCTTTTAGCTTAGGGATAATGCTATATATCAAAGGCTCCATTTATCAGGTCACACTCACTTTATTCCTTAACAGAAAAATAGTTATCCCCTTTGAGACCCTACTCCTAAAGCATTTCATGTCATTATCTACCTCAGGTCTCCGCATCCTGTCTCTGGCTTTTAGTCTATTCTTTTCATTAACAGCCTATACTAAATTTTATTGAGCCAGATGACTAGATAAAACATCTCAATGCAATTAAAGTAATACATGAAAGGCACAACTTAGAGACATCTAATTTCTAAGCTGTACACTCCATGGTTTCAAGAAACTAGATATTTCATTATATTTCTAACATATATGTATGAAAAAATCAAACTGGAAAACACAGGCATAAAACATATTCTTATTTAAAAATAAACATTTCCTTCATTATCTATACATTTTTTCTATGTCCAGGAAAAAAGAATACAATTTTGATCTTCACTAATATTCCTGACCATAAAGGGGCAAACCAAGTTCCATTTTCACTGCTATTTAATCATGAAGAGCTCTTCAAAGATGTCTTTTTAAATCCTTAGCAGGAAGGATATGCCTTCCTCGATTTTGAAAATGATCCATTATCCTCATAGAGGCCTTTACTAAGCTCATCTAGTTTCAGCTGGCATGGGAAGTATTTAAAGCCAGAAAGAAGCCTGAGAGATTGAGACTTCTCCTCTGATGCCTTTCAAAGCTGCTCCCAGGCCGCTGAGGTTAGAGCCTGTCCTCCAAAGTGCAGTGCTTTGCACACTGGTGTTGCTCTTCAACTTTCTTTTCCCCCTTAAAGTGCAAGTGTGAGAAAGAAGAAACAAAAATACTAGACAGAGAAACAAACAAGTGGGCTTGGAATTTTATCTGTACAAATCTGACCAACTAAGAGTTTCCCTTCTCATCATGGAAAACGGCACTCGAGGAAGAAAACCACAATGGGGTTTTCTGTGCCCACCTCTTTTCAAAAGGGTGATGTTGGAAAACCGCTTTCCATGTAAGGAAAGAAATACCCCTAAATGAGTAAGGACATATACAGAGGGTGACCATGAGGCATGTTGTTATTATGTCAGTGCAGGGTCCTTTATTTATTTAATGAACAATATTCTAAGGTTAGTGGGGAACTATGCTTTATTTTTCAGTCTAGGAAGCCAAGGAAAACCAGCTGAACATATTTCATTGGCTGCACCCTTCAATTCAAACAAACATCAGCGAGAAAGAAGGGTAAGTAGCCAGAGTCAAACTGTGCCTAACTTGTCAGAACACTTATTTCTTATTATCTGAAAATAAACAACATGCTTATTCTACAAAGACAGAGGACCTGCTGAAAGCTTATAGCAACACACAAGTCTACTCAAAATGATTCCATATGTTACATTGTAGGATTGCCATGTAAAGTTATACAAGGGAAAGAGATCAAAACCCTGTACAGACACCTGATATCGGACTTGAAACGCCAAGTGGAAACAGAACTATTCGGCATCTTCATTTATACACAATTTACAATATTTGATTCAAAATAAAAATCACAAGAAAAATACATCTGTTTCTGCTACAATTCCTTCCCCTCCCCTATTCAACCCCCCTCCCCAGTGAAAAGTCTTCTAATAAAAGGTATCATATTACCACCATTGTCTTGTTTTGGTCTAATTCTGAGATCCCAGCTTGGGATGGTTAACATGAGAAGGAATGGCAATACTTGGGATTTATATACTGTACACATTTCATCCAAGGATCTCAAGTACTTGCAGTCACGTCTCCAGATCTGAGAAATCGCGGTTCAATGGAAGCCAGAATGCTGGACGGATGCTGGGCAGGCTGCATGGGGTGTAAAATCCCTTGGCTAGGTCTACGATCAAACAGGGTCACAGTTGGTTGGCTAGAGCTCGGCTCACTTTCTCTTTTCAAACATATACCATCGACCAGTCATTTTTACCCTTCTCAAACCACACACCTGTCTCCAGGCTACTGCCTAGAGTTAAGACCAACTGAAGAAGCCAGGTCTTCACAATAATGCAGCAGGATAAAAAAGCAAAAACAGAGAAACACATTCATCAGCATCTGGCCAAAGGAGACAGGGGTTGGGAGGATTGACTTGGGAGGCCATTCCTAGCAAGAATGAGGCAAAGGTGTCAATTCACTAGTTTCAGTTACAGAGAAGCTTTTGGTGGAGTTGATTCCAGCAGAGGTGAAGCTTATGGCATCTAGTGCTTGATTTAAGACAATGCTATTGAAGAAGGGTAATGAGAAAACACAGCAAATGAACAGGGAGGAACTGGCCAAGGAATATCTGGAGGGCCAAAGTGATTTTCTTTCCTTATCATTTCTACAGAGAAGGCAAGGGGCAGGAGATAAGGGCTACAGGGCTCCTTATTTGCAATTTAAAAAAATCATTTTTCTTATAATTCCGTAATGAAAATGTGTATTACGGTATGAAGGTTACAGAACTGCATCTGCTACTGGGTCACGGCTACAGGTCTATGAGCTGATCCACCAGCAGTAAAGACCTGGCTAGGTTGGGAAGGCTGGACTCAGAGCTCCCACTGCTGTTTCTAGAGTGCCCACCTGGAAGTGGAGAGATAGGAATTCAGTACAAAACACAGAGGGTTAAGGTTTATATGTGCAGAGTAAGCAAAGGAGAAAAAACAAACCAAAACAAAACCCTAGAGAAGCAACAATTTACATCTGCAAACTCTTACATGTTGGTTTTTAAAAATAAGTTAGGTTTCTACCACTTCCCGCAAAAGGTTCAGGCACTGTGTGCACACCGTCCGATGGCACCGTTCAAATGGATGTATGCTTTGCCTGATAAGTGCTGGCTGTACTAACTTCTGGACAACATAGAGTCATCTCCTTGATAGAGTAAAAAATCAGTAATTTTTGCTTTGGAGAGAAAATAGTTTCTAAGACTATAGCAATAAAAACAAGTTTTAAAAATATAGAGAGATGGTCCTTTGTTATTCAGTGTTGTGTGGCACGTTCGAATGATTTGAATCCATCAAAGAGGGAAGTTATGCTCCACAAATGTCGAAAACATGTAGATTATACCAATGCATCATTATTAATCTCTTTGAGAAGATCATTTATTACAAATTGTTCTGATCATTATGAAAAAGAAAAACCCAACTTCAGTGCATTTTTTGACATATGCCTTCAGGTTTAAAGATCACTTTGCTTTATAGGCTTGATACTTTGTAAAAACCTGCTTTTAGTTAGACATTAAAACTTTCCTTCTCTCTAAAAAAAACCACCGTGGTCAGGTTTTAAGATAACCTCTAGCAGTACCTCTATCTCTCTCTACTGGTCCACCTACAGCAATTGTCAGTACCCCCAATAACTTTCATTCAATATTGCTTCCCCCCGCCCCTCTCATAGATTAGGTACAGTGGTACTCTTTTGTGGAGAGCTGATGTCAGGCTCTTTCCCCATCCTCTCTTTCTTACCTTGTGGGTTTTTGGTTATCAATACAGGAATAGGGTCAAACTCATCTTCTGCCACCTTGTCCGAGCCCTCAGGGACATCGAAACCTGAGATGAGATTACTATCTTCTGCAGCTTAACACAGAAGGCGAGTACACAAGCAGAGACAACAGAAACAGAGATTAGCAAATGAGAGAACATGTAAGAGGCACAAGTCCCCAACTGTACAATCACTGCACATTTTTAAAGATGAAAGTGCTTATTTTCCTGAGTTGAATTAAAAGTAGCAAAGTTGGAAAACTTAGAGAAATGAAAAAAAAATGCTTTAGTGCTGGCCATGTTAAGACTTTCATAAATGATGCAGGAGAAGAATTATAGGATGAATTCTCTCTACCATTGTAAGACCATTAATCGCAGTTACTGTGAGGTATTTCTTCAATGTCAGCAACTCACAAAGGCACAGAAATTAGTCATTTATCTTCTTTACTGAGCAAACAGAGGCCTGACAATATTTGAAAAACTGAAAGCCACGGGTTGGGGCCGTTTCTCTTTACAAAGCAACCACTATATAGGAGGCAAAACAAATGCTTCCGAAAGGACTCACTGCCCTCTGATTGGGAAAAAAGACTTTCAAATAACTGATGTCTCAAGACATCACATGCACTAAGATTTCCAGCAGAAGCTTGTTAAAATATTCTTCTTCCTTCTAATTAGGGCCATCTCACCACCAACTGCTAGCTGAGCACCTATTTTGCAAGTACTGCTCCTCTGTAATTACACATTGCTGCTGACACACTCCCGCCAGACATACTTGGTTAACAGGTAACTTCTTTCTACATGCTCCATAAAAATATAATCATTTTAATGCCATAAAAGGTAAAAACAAAAGCTCAACTATTACCACCACAAACCACAGGCTAATTGTTTTTCATTCATCTTGGGGAGGCTTCGTTTTTTAATTTCCTGCAGAGAGGATGCTAAACTTCCTTTTCTAAGTATTTGCTCCTTCTAGAAAACCACGTGCTCGACCCTAGCTCAGCAGGAAGTCTCGCGGATGCCTGCGCAAGCCTGGCATTGTGCCTGTCGCTTTCACAAACTACTCACTGAACAGAACTCAAAGCAAGCCACATCTGTCCAAAATTATAAATCAGTATTAACCTAAGAAGTGAAAACGGTAGATAAAAAAAAAAAAAGAAACCTAGTAATCAATTGTGACCCAAATATTAACTAAAATTCAAAACTTTTATAAATTCAATTTCTTGAAGACTGACTTTTGAGGAACGATGCCTATTTATCACTGTCCAAAATCTTTACATCATATTTAACAAACCACTTTTAAGTTTTAAGGCCAACAACTATCATATTAATAATTACAGTCAGTGGCTAATCAACTCACCACCTACTTGAGTTGGCTTCGAAGGTATGTAGCTCTATCTTTCCTGGACCGCATGAATATCTGTATTTCAGGTGACTGCCAGGCAGTAATACCTCCACCAATCTGTTGTCTAAGCCTCACTAAATATTATTTCTGAGGGACTATAACACAGTGGCTGAGATCACAAACTCAAGTTTTCCACAGAAGGAGGAGGTTAAAACACTTCACTAGCAAAGACTTTGGGTAAGGAAAATGTTCAGTTATTCAGATCTCCTCGAAGGATACATGTGGGCCCAAGAAGAAGAGAGCATTTACCTTTATGGGTTGGAGCAGAGATCGCTATGGGGGCAAACTCTTCCAGAAGGTCAGTAGTAGGGTTAGAAAGCAGAGAGCAATCGATCAGGGAATCTTCCCCAGTGAGAGAATCTGAGTCCAGATTAACAGCATCCCAGGTCAGTGATGGCATTAAATGGCACATACAACAACATCACAGGGTTAGACCTTGGCCTTTAAGTTACTGCACTTACATGTCACACATATGAGCCAAGGCAGGAAAAAGAAAACTAAAAGAAACATGTTAGGCACTCTGGATTTCACTTATGGAAACATGTATTTCTAGATTCCTCTTAACCTTAAATTAACATATAAAATTGGATGAATTTTTTGCTCAGGCATGGCTAGATAAGCAAGTATGTGATTTGAATTCCAATAAAAGCCATTTGGGAAAAAGAACTTTGCAACTAAAGACTTTCACTTAGCCCTGACTAGTGTGGCTCAGTTGGTTGGGCATCATCCTGCAAAGGGAAAGGTTGCTGGTTCGATTCCTTGCTGGGCACATGCCTGAATTGTGGGTTCGGTCCCTGATCAGGGCATGTACGAGAGGCAAACCACAGATGTTACTCTCTCACATCGATGTTTCTCTCCTTCTCTTTCTCCCTCCCTTCACCTCTCTTAAAAAAAAATAATCTTTTTTCTTAAAAAAAGAGTTTCACTTAAATTTTCCCCAAAAACTCATGGAAAGAAGTTACTGCAGGATGAGGTGTCCATTATGACTAGAAGGGGGTTGTCCCCGGTTTACTACTAGTGGTTGAACAATACTTTCTAGAACTCAGATTCCTATTCAAACTAGAATGATCTTGCCTCTTACTAGTATAAACTTTAATTGTTCCTTTGAACACATAATTTGCTTTTAAAAAACAGAAAGAAGACAAGTATTTTAACACATGAATTCTTTTCTGGGAAGTTTTCTAGGAGAAAACAGCCAAGTGAGCACAAGGAAAAGAAAGCATATTGTCTTCTGTGCTCACTTTTTCGAATCTAAATAAGTTAATTTTCATACTTCTTAGATTTCTAATTGTTTCTAAGTTAGAAAATTGGACACTTTTATCAAGGTGATTATGGGCTCAAGAGAGATGAAGGTTACTAAATCTGTATTTATGGGCAGTTAAGAAATTTTACTAAGAGCGAACTTTGAAATTAGGGTAAAAGTAATGCTGGAGCCAGGAAAGATTTCAACTTTGCCTACAATTTAACAGCAAGTCACCTATAAATGATTAGAGTACTGTGCTAGGAATAGGATCAACAAAAGAACATTGGTTTCCTAGATACCACTGAGGGGGAAACATTACTCAGTAACCTGGAGGAGTTAACGGGCATCCTTATAGCTCAGCAGAGTTCTCTGATTAATGAGATGGGAGGAATCTGCCACTAGTGTAAAGATCTTGAATAAAGAAAGACTATAATAAGAAAAATCCTAGGGATTACTCTACAAAGAACATGGCTCCAAAAAATACTCTGTTTTTTAGGGAGGAAAGACATCACTCAAAATCTAGAAGCTGGGGTTATACCAATACAGGGCATCCCTTCTGGGAGGAACTAACCAGGCTACAAACTAAACCCAGGACCACCTGTTGCAGGTGGAAAGACCAGCTCTAAGGGCTCACCACACTGGCCAGTCCCGCTGCTGCAGAGAATCCTGACTGACCTGTGCAGTTTGAGGTCACAGATTCCGTCTGAGATGGGAGGCGCTGGGGCGCCGGGGGCTCCAGTCCTGGTATGAGACTCTCAACAGCAACATCAGCTTTTTCTTTTGTAACAGAGCATTAAAAAGGGAGAAAAAGGATCAGGGGCAGGCAGTCAGAGGGTCTTTGGACAATTCTGTGAAGGTCTCTAAAATGTGAGATGGAAGCACAGTAAGTTACTTTATTTCTGCTGCTTTGAGTATCCGCGCTTTGCTGATTGGGCATGCCTGTGCAAAATCAACCACGGTGGCTAGTCTGTTTTTATAGATAAATGCAGAATGTGAGCCACCAGGAGATCTCCTCCACATCAGAAGACATAGACTGAAAGGCACCTTAATATCTCCTGCTAATCTTGCTTTCCTTAAGGGACAAGCTTAGGAGCCTTTCACAACCTCTGTGGTTTGCAAAGGCCACTAGTCCATCTCAAATCCCACCCCACAATGTAGCTGGGAGGTATTCCGCACAGTGAGACATCCCCCAGCTAGAGGCCCATGTCTCTGTAGTGTCATGGCCTCTCTGAGTTTTAGGACTTTGTGGCCCTGGAGTAGAGGGGCCCTGGGCATTTTGTAGGTGTTGCCTGGCCTTGCAGTTGGAGCACAGAGAAATGTTAGGTCAAGCAAGACCAAGCTGCTCCTCTGGATTCTATGCCTGAAGCTTCACCACCAGGCATGTGTCTTCTCAGTTGCTGATACCTGACACTTAGGCCTTCTAAAGAAGAATCTACTGAAGGGAAGGTCTGGCTTGAAACTTTCCATGAAGCTTTTGTAATTAAATGTGAATTTTCCCTCATTCCTCCTCATTCATAGGATGTGACTCTAGAAATCTCAGGATAACAAGAAAAGCAAAAATAACAGTGGTGTGCAGCTGGAAGGCAGAGAAAATACTTCATTTGACATGCTAACAGAGAAGATTAAATAGTCTTGGTTTCTGGGTTAGCACAAGGCATCATCTAACACCAGAAGGCTTGGTGGCATTTCCACTCCTCACCACGGCTATTCAGTAGGGATCTGTTACCCAGTTATCATTCTTGAAATAGACACACACATCATGCATTACCAAAGAAACAGAAATGGAGACTTTACCAATTGCAGCATCGGAAGTGCTACCAAAAGGGTCTGTCATAGGCAAGAGGTCAGGGAGCAGAAGAGAAGTGTCAGGAGATTTGAGTCCCTCAATTAGCTTTTCTAGGTTGGGCAGAGAAGTAAAGAAAAGCAAAAATGCAATGAGATATTAAAGCAAGCTGATCATTTTCCATTTTCTATGCAAATACACTTTAGGGTTCAAAATTCTGTGTGGATTCACCATAAAAATAATGTTAGTATCTTGTTAAAATAGGCATTCAAAGTCTGATGTTTAAAAATGGTTATTTCTCTAATTGAAGTGGTCACTCGGTGAGGCATTCAAGGTGCTGCCCTGGGTTTGTTTGTTTTTAAATTAAAGGTATAAGTTACACTGAATAAAAGTCATCGATTTTAAGTGTACAATTTGATGAATCTTAACGAACGTCCGTATACATGCACATACCACTGAAATAATGACAGAGAACAGTTCCCATTACCCGAGAAAGTACCCTGTGCCCCTTTCTAATCAATGCCTTCCTCTCACCCCCAGGCCCTGGCAACAGCTGATTTGCTTTCTGTCCCAACAGTTTCATCTTTTCTAGGATTTCCTGTGAATGGAACCGGACAGGATGCAGTCTTTTCTGTCTGGGGTGCTTCATTTACTATGATGCTTTGGCGATTCCTCCACGCTGTAGCGTGCATCAGTAGTCTGCTCTGATTTACTGCTGAGTGGTGTTCCACTGGATACATGTACGTTTTGTTGATTCATTTACTAGTAGATGAATATTTGTTTTCAATTTTTAGCTATTAAACACAAAGATGCCATAAACATATGCATATGTCTTTGTATATTCCTATCTCTTCCTGGGCTTAGTTGTGAATCTCTCTCTCTTTTTGTTAACTTGCATTTAGAAATGGTTTAAAACTCACCAAGAGGATATAATAAACCATGCCTAAGTTAACTTCAACTATCATTTACTGCCTGCCAACTGAGAGTCTGGGACATGCTGGAACTGTTATTAAAGGTTGGATCTCACAAAAGTCACTTAAGTCTACACATGGATTACTTTCAATGCCTTTTGACTAAGAAACAAAGGACAACAGAAGCCGCCAGATTTTTCACACCTGATAACTTAATGTGTGTTAATGTGTACACATTAAGATTCCTTTCAAAATAGTTCCTTTAGTCCTGATCCATTGATAACTATCCATTTACCTTTAACCTATTAAAGGTAGAGGATTAACTTGAAACAAAAGAATAAATCATAGAACTGTACAGAAAGAAGAGAATTAAGAGCTAATACTTCCTTTTGTTTACAAGTGTACTGAGGCCATGTAAATTATATAACTTGACCAGTTAAAGGGCCACCAATAATGTTTTTTCTATCACTGAAATAAAATGCCATTCAGATAAAACTAAAATTAAGGTGTTAGAGAAAAAGAAGTGACTTAAAGTTCAAATATGTGTATATAACATTAAATGAATCTGTTCTTCTGGGCCATTGGAATTGAGATAAGTAAAGGCTAAATTGATATTGACTAAGGGACAAAAACCAAATTTTAGGTGATTTGTAAGTTAGATGAGCTATAACTACAGAGATGAAACAAAATAATGAATTCTAGTGTCTTGGAAAGATCATTTGTTTTGGTGCAATTAACACACTGCAGAAAAAGACACTTCTAAATGTGAAGCCAATTTAGCACCTTTGAGGTGTATGGCATGTAGCTGTCTGAGTTAAATGGTAATATGCTGCACTTCTCTCTCACACCTCATTTATATGGAAGAGAGGAAGTAAAAAAGAAGCTTCTCAATAACAGGAAGGATCCAGGTACTAACTATGTATACAGCATAATCACATCAGCATTAATCTGGAAATATACGTGATGTTATTAAAAAGATGTTAAAATACCTTTGACAATTTTCAGCATACAGGCAAAAAAAAAATGGTTTCACCTAAAGTCTAATATTTTATTCTGAACGTTAGTTTTTGTTTTATTCCTTCTCAAAGCTTCTCTCACTTAAAAGTGAAACTTCTTTCACTGTTAGCACTCATATATTTGCAGTCTTATAAAACAATGGATAAAAAGACCCAAAACCAGGTGCTTATTTTTCATACAACAGTTTATCTTGGTGCCAAAACTCAGGCTGGCATTCTCTCAGAGCTTGAATTCTGGCCGCTCTCATTGTAACCCTGGGGTAGTTCCTTCAACTTCCGACTCGATCCCCTCAGCTGTCCGATGGAGAAACCTCCCCATACCTTTCTGTATTGGTCACTTCAATATCATCATCTCCTCAAAGCACCGCCCCCTCCCCAGCCACATTAGAGGAAGCGTCTAGAGCACTCTGTGCTCACTGCTCTTGCGGTCCTCACAGCGTAACTGGAGGTGGGGAAGATGTCTTACTACTCTGTATCCCCAGTTCTTGGTTCCCTCTCGTCACACCTCTGTCTTACAGCTTCACTGGGGATGTGGGGACAATAGGGGATAAACTGGAAATAAGTACTTCAACAAGAATCTAATTATTTTATTAGCCATTAGCAAAAAAGTATGTAAAAGGGTTAAAAAGTACATGCGTGCATGATGTTCATGTGTTGTGTGGGAGATGAAATGGAGTGGGGAGGGGGTAAGATACCAAATTCTGGGAGGCTTGTTTCTCACGGAACCTCAAAGTACCAGGTTACTCACACAGGTCATTTGTTTGGTCACTGCTGCTTGGGAATACTTAAATACCAGAACTACGGCAGGGAGGGGCAGAGGACAGAGTAATACCAGGCAGAAAACTAGCAGCGAGGGTATGGGGCTACAGCAGCTGAAGATAGATGGCACGTGCAAAAACAGCTTCTTTCCCTCCCAGAACTCCAGAAGTAGGAAAAGGCTCTCAGTTCCTCGGTGCTGGTCCCCAGGCACCATTATAACATTTATCACTCACATTTGGAGAGCTCAATGTCAAACATTTTCATTCATCATTCACAAAAAACCCTGCACTTGAAATACTACAGAATTGAGGAGAATGGAGATCAGAGACTGTGAGAATGTGTGACTTGCCCAAAGTCATGGATGGAACATGGGAGAGTCTGGACAGGACTTCCACATGCTGAGTACAGGGTCTGTCTATCTCCTTCTACACGGGAGGAAGGATCTTCACGCAGACAGAGTCCCATGAGCAATAGTGAAGTTGTAAAAGACACATTGGCGCTGGAAGAAACCTTGAATCTTATCCAATCAGTCTTCGTGTTTACAGATGCAGAAACCAGCTTTAGAAAGGCAAAACTACTTGCCTAAGAGTTTACTGCAAACACACCACAGAGGCAGCAGGGCCCAGATCTTCTATGCCCTGGGGATTCATACCTCTGTTTAACTAACACCTTCGTTGCTTTAAAAGACTCTTAGAAGACGCCACATTTAAGCTATTTTTGGGTCACTGTAAATGAAGAACTTGAGGACAGGAGTAAAGGGAGGCACAGATAGGAAAGGCCACAGGAGGCTGACAGCCTACAAATCAACCTGGAGGCCTCCTGTGCGCATCATCAAGAGCTGACCTTGATGTCCTTCATTTTATGAATTCTGTTCTTTCCCTTACAGTTTTATAAGAATGCTCTGAGGCCACGTATCATGGTGGGGGTGCGGGGGGAGAACAGTGCAGAGAAGATGGTGGTGAATTTAGGAAACTGTGCTGGAAGAGTTCTTTAAGATCCAAAACCTTGATCAAGTTCCACATCAGAGGAATAACTTGTCGATATGTAATGAACAGAGACTTTTAAAAAATTTACATGAATCACGGGAAATGCTTCTCTGGATACAAAAGCAAAACCCATCTTCTGGGTCAGTTCACACTGAAATATACAGACCCACACTCTAATTTTCAATGATACAAGGTGACAGACCAATAAAACCCAGAAATAACTCATTAATTGCATTTTGTAATGATTTTATCTTCCTAAGAAACATCTGACAAGTTTCCCATTTCTTCTGTGTTAGTATCACAAGTACGTGACCCCATCGCATCCCATCATGTGAAAAGCAACTGTGGACAGAAGAAAAATGGTCCAGTTCTGAGGTGGACTGTAATGTTTTAAAAACTAGCCTCAGAATCTAAAATATGTGTTGTGTGTGTGGTGGGAAGAACTCCTGGACTTAGGGTGGGTATCATTTAATCTTTTGTTGTGATGCTGTGCATTTTGGGGGACTTTAGCTGGGGTCTGCAAAATCACCCCAAATAAATAAGCAACATGAAAGAGTAAAAAAGCCTGAATTTAAGTTAGTTACCTAATTTTTCTAGGCATCAGTTTTCACTTGCAAATAGAAGATAAAAACTACTTGAAAGGGTTGTCAGAAATTAATGGGCATATTTATCAGAATTAATGTGTATGTGTGTACACATTAATAAGTGCTTGTTACACAAAAGGAGATGATTAACTTCTCTTTTAGGACGAGATGAGGGCTCACCAAACCACTGAGGCCTGAAAATGGGTGGAGTTCCACTCTCACTCCCAAACCCGGGCATGAGAGTAAAATGTGAGAAGGAGGCAGCCTGGTCCGATAGAGGAAGAAAAGGTACTAAAACAAGAGGCCTGGGTCCCGCACTAAGCTTTTATGACACTTTGGCTATTATCTTTCTCTGGGTGTAAGTTTTCTTACTGATAAAATGAGATAAACGTAAAGGTCCCATGTACCTCTAAATGTCAATCATCCGGCGTGAATGGAAAAAGTAGGAAGTAGAAACTGGTTACTTAGCAGATGGATTGCCTAGAGATGAACATGGAGATCTGAACAGGTGATGACCACGGGGGAGGACATTGGAGGGCACCTCGGTAACACAGGCAGGCGGTAGGAAGACGGGGCCCCAAGGCAGCAGGGTTTGGAAAATGCAGAGCTGACTATACATGCTCTTCAACATGCAAACAGTCCCCACAGGCAGAGCCAGGAAAGCAGGGTAAGAAGGTGGGGGAATAGCTAAGCTTGCTCCCGGTTTAGAAAAAAGAACAAATCTTTATGGTTTGATCCCTTATTACAAAAGCAATACATGTTTATTGTGAAAAATTTGGGAAATACAGATAAACCAAAGGATAAAAGAACTATCTATAATCTAACTTCTAGAGAAAAGCACACTCTTAAGGCTTTAA